ACATTTATTTCTTTATATGATAACTGCAGCGAGACTTCTATATGCTCAAAAATTGAAGGATATGCAAATACCTACTGCTGAAGAATGGCGATTGAAATGAACGGAATTGGCTGAGAAGGCGAAACTTCCTTCTTTGCTCAAAGACAGGGCCCTGTCCGACTTTGTCCCTAATTGGAAACCACCCTTAGACTTTTTGCTTGATGCTCAAAAAAATCCAACCTTAATTTTGGGATTTGCTGATTGATGTTATAGTTATAGAAATATCTTGTACAAATTATACGTATTACTCAAACACATTAATTTTTAGGATTCCTTCTGAATATTAGATTAAAAACTATGTTTTACTATGTACATTTTTAGATATTAGAGTAGTAGGCGAATATTTTCTTCATCTATACCTGTACCGAGGAAAGTCGGAAGCTACTCTTTTTTTCTCCCCCCCTTTTTTCCTTGATTTTTCTGTATTTTAACTTTTGTGGAAAACTTAATAAAATTTATTTTAAAAAACCCAGAACGATCTGGGATTACAAACAACAGCATGGATTTGTCAAGGACAAGTTTTGCCAGATTTTCTCATTTTGATCAGGTAACTTCTTTAGTAGATGTTAGGAATGCTACCAATGTAGTATAACTTGAGCTAATTTGGATAGTGAAAGTCTTACTATAGGGACCGAGAGTTTAAAAAACCACTGCAGCTCCAATTTTTAATTATAGGTCTATCAGCTTAACATCTGTCTGTGGAAACTGCTGTTAAAAATGAAATTATTAAACATTTGCAAATACAGGCCTTGCTCAAGGGTACCCAACATGGTTTCACTAAGAGTAGGCCATATCTGACTAATCTACTAGAGGTTTTTGGGGGTGTTAATAAATATGTGGATAAGGGCGATCCAGTAGACATCATTGACTTAGTTTTTCAAAAAGTCTTTGATAATGTCCTTCATCGAAGACTTCTCAATAAGCTTAGTGGCTGCAGAAGAAAAGGGCAGGTCCTCTTGTGGATAAACAACTGGCAAAAGAATAAAAAACAAAGAGTAGGGGGCAAATGGATGTTTCTCACAAAGAAGGGATGTAACTAGTGGGGTCCCCCAGGGTTCTGTCCTAGGACCAGTGCTTTTCAACATATTTATATTGTATAAAATTATAAAATTGGACCTAACTAGTGGAATAGCCAAGTTTGCTGATGACGCTAAATTGTCCAGAGTGGTAAAAACAATACGGGACTGCGAAGAGCTCCAAAGGGATCTCTATACATTAGGGGAGTGGGTGTCAAATGGCAGGTGTCATTCAGTGCAAGCAAGTGCAAAGCAATGTGTTTTGGGGCCAAAAATCCAAAGTGCACATAAAAACTGAAGGGGTCCGTGCTAGCAGTGATGATAAGGAAAGAGATCTTGGAGTTCAACGAAGACGCTTTCACAGTGTGCATCTGCTGTAAAAAAAAAAAAGTCCAATGGGTGTTAGGGATATTAAGAAATGGAATTGAAAACAGATGCCAATATCACAATGCCCTTACATAAATCAATGGTGTAACCACATCTGGAATATTGTATGCAATTCTGGTTGCCGCGCCACAAAAAGGATATAGTGGAGCTAGAGAAGGTTGAGAGGAGGACCACTAAGAGGATCCAGGGGCTGGAGCAGCCTCCCTACATGGAAAGGCTGCAACATTTGGAGCTTTTGAGTCTAGAAAGGAGGCGGACAAGAGGGGACATGATGGAGGTGTACGTGGTGTGGAGAAAGGGGATGTTGTGGAATTTTTGCCAGAGACAGGAGCCCAACGCTGAGGAGGAGAACCGTGTTCATTGCAATGATCACTGGGTGCCTGCTTTCAAGAAAGAGGGGCCCTGAACAATGGAAAAGCATAGGATTTATACACTTTTGAGGCTGAGAGGCGGGAAATCTGAGGGATCTGATTCGAGGATAGGTTTGGATAGGCGTTAAATGGGGGATAAATGGTTTTTCTATTGTGAAATAGCAAACCCTTAAGCAGACAGGTGATGGCCCTCCCATTGTTTCAGTATGATGGTGTTACGAGGGCTATTTTTGGCAGCAGAGCATGGTCACTCTTGGGTCATGCAATAGCCTGGAGCTGATCCTGTTTTGCATGAGCAAAGAA